TTAAATTAGTTAACATTTTTTTTATCTTTTAATATGCGTGCCCTGTGTGGCATTTTTCTTTGACCGTTTGTTAAATTTTCGATAGTGAATCTGTCCAGAAAAGATTTTGTCGAATTGTGTTAGGCCAGCGGTGTACTGTACTTCTTATACCGCCGCCTTAAAATGATTCAATCTGCATAGACTCAGTGATCGGAGATACAAGCTGGTCTGTAAAGGCCAACTCAGACAGCGTCGGCCGACGCAGCCCGACCCGATTTATCGTCGGGGACAGTCTTAAGCCGTCGTGAGAATTATTAAACACGTTTAATATTCTACTACGCGACCTGTCTCTTATACACATCTAGATGTGTATAAGAGACAGGCGTTGTAATTATAAGCAGTAGGCTTAATATTGCTTAGTTTTTTCATGGAGGAATTTTTCTCCATGGTTTTATCTAGGCCTACTAACAAAGCCAAGATAATTTCCCTGTCGTACTTTAGCTCTAATTGGTATTAGGCCTATAAGCAGATGATAATCAACAGTTTTGCTAGTATATGCATATGATAATGTATGTTCATGAAGGAATATGTTTTATTTATTATGTCACAACCACAACCAACAACTTGGCTAATCATATCTGGCTATGATTGACAACCGAGTAACTTGCCAATGTAAACTTTTGTGACAGACAGAACAAATTTAATAAAATCTCAAGTATACAATAAACAAATTATTCTTATCTCTCAAAAATTAGGAACACAAAGAACTGAAAATGATTGTTCAAACAAATGAAACATTCATAGGCAAATCAACGGAATTTTCTTTATATCTCATTAGAAAAAAGTTATTGTTTGGATGAGATAATTCGTATCTATATGGATCTCAACTAAAGTAGGCCTGTACCAATTGTTTGAACAATCAGACATCTCGGGTACTGTTTTCCGAAAGTGACAGTTACTGTATGTTCAATGCCGCCAGGATTTTCAAACAGTATGGGACAGTATCAGGCTGGACCCACTTTACGCGTGAATTCAAATAATGAGAACCCAATTTCTTAAGAAAGTTGTCCATTTTACGTAAAATTAATATGAATAATCTAGGCCAATTTCCTAAAATATTGACCCATTTTACGCAAAATATGAGAAATCTGGACCTATTTTATTTAAAGTTTACCCTTTTTACACAAAGTATGGGAAATCTGGACCCATTTGTAAAATGTGGACTCATTCTTTGTGGACCCAATAGAAAAATTGTGTGGGACTGTCCCAGCTGTCCCAAACTGGCTACGGCATTGTGTATGTTACCAATTTTATCAATAATAATACTAGAAAGCATTAATTTATCATTGAGTGTTAGCATACAAAGATAATATTTCAGTACAGGGAGGCCAATAGGAATTGGATGCACAATATCAGCTCTTAAGTTCCTACTCTAATCTGTCCCATAAATTGCTAACCAACAAATAAAAATTGACAACTGGAATATTTATAAATTACGCATGTACTTATTTTTATACTAAGGCTTACATCCCTTTTGTATCGCCGATTTTATCAACGGCAAAGTGTGTCGACTTTCAGAGTCAACGTAACTTCCATTGACACAGAGAGGATCAGGAACTCAAAGGGGACAATTATTTCAAGTTCCTCTTTGATCGTCAACTTTCAGTGTTCTTGAGCAATAGTTCTTGAAGTCGGCGAACACGAAATAGTCGGCAAGGAAACTTGATCTTAAACATAACTGTTTGGACAGTTCGAGGGGAAAGTTGTATATGGGTCCAGCAAAATACAGCTAATGCTATTTAGAAATAAGGCATGAGCCGAGTGTACGTATTTCAAAGATCCAGTACCAAAAAAACAAAAACAAAACAAAAGACGAACTTGACAAGACTGCCTGTCACGCGATTAGCAGCTCTTCTTCGACGTGCTCAGAACACTGCTGCGAAAATCATAACTCGTACTAAAAAACACAAACACATCACTCCAGTACTACGAAGTCTGCACTGGTTACCTATTCAATCCTGCATTAAATTCAAATTGCTTTCAAAAATTCAAAAAGTTTGGAAAGGGTCCGCGGACCCAGCTGTTAGGACTGGTGGGGTACCCCTTCCTCCTGCAGGCCCGTATGCAAGAGGGTGGGGGTTCGACGGGGGAGGACGCACCCCACCCCACCCAAAATTACAAAAGGTCCACATTCCAAGTAGAAAATTCAAGACACACTCTCACATGCTCCAGAAATCCATCCACCAAAAATGCCTGACAATCAGAGCAGGTTCCAACTAGGACTGCCTAATTTAAGATTTGTGAGTAATTTTAGAGTTTGTCACCGCCGTTGCGTGTCAATAACTCGCCACGTACAAAACTCATTTTCTCTCTATATATATAAGTTTCAGTAGAATTAAGCCTATCTTTATTCCCGTTTAAGTCTGCGAGTGCCATTTTTGGCCATCTAGGTGTCATATATATCATAAATTTTCTTTTCCTCAAACCCAACCGTGGTGGGGTTGGCTGAGGTGGGTGGACCCTCCATGGCTAATATTTCTGTGAAAGTCTCTATCTAGCCTGAAAGGGTGTGGACGTATTCGCTTAAAAGCAACAATAAAGTGATTTATTGCTACCCTGTTCCCGATCAGATCAGTTATAGGATTATTTTTAAATTATCGATTTTTTTTATTTTTGACGTCTATCCATCTCATCCACGACGTAAAGCGCTTGTAAGTATTTGTTCATATTCGCAATTTCCATTAATTTTATTCATAATATAACATTTACATTTGTGGTAAATTTAGTATTTTTAATACTTAATAATATTATAAGTTTATTTTTGGTTTTTTTTTTTTCATTGTGCGCTAGACCTACTGTACATTTACAGTATTTCTTTTATCGGTATGTTTAAATTTATTAATGTTTTATTTACCTTGTTCTATAATTTTACATGGTTTATTGACATGCAGTGAAAATCTGAAACACCAAGTGGTTAGAAACGACACGTTTCACATCTAGGCTATGTGATGTCCAATTTGTAGGGATTTATTTTACTCCGACCTCGATTTATTTACGATTCTTAAAATTGTAATAGTATTAATGAACGTTAACCCGTAGTATAATTAATAATATTTCCAATGTGTTTTTAATTAGATTGATTTAATTTAGTATAGATCAGTTTCCTTAACATATCAAAGTTTTTTTTTGTTTTTTTTTATTGCTTTTAACATACATAAAACAACATAATATAATATAATGCAATATTACAATACACAATCTCATCTTCTAAAACTAGCCTGAGCCAATGAAAATGAAAATGAAAAATAGTACATTCGGCTGATTAGCCCTTTCGTTTATCTTAAGCCGTCGTGAGAAATATTAAACACGTTTAATATTCTACTACGCGACTGCCCCCGACGCACACCATCTGTCTCTTATACACATCTAGATGTGTATAAGAGACAGTATATATACACACACACACATGTACGTATATAAATAATAAATAAGTAAATAAAATTAAAATAAAATTA